GTCGGCTTGGAGGGACACAGCTGGCGTCGGTATGGAGGTCGTGCGCCGGCTCGGCCTTGGAGAACGGAGACGACCCACTGTCCGGGGAGAGGTGTTAGCCACCGATGGCGTCGTGGATGCACACCGGTAGCTAGGAAGAGGGGTTGCACGCCCTCGTCGCCCCATCGAGGATGGGCGGGCGCTGCCGTCGGTTGGAAGAAGTGGTGAAGGAGCCGTCACAAAGTGGATTAGGGTGGGAGGCGTGCACATGGAGTATACTTTCGGGAAAATTTTCCCCAAAGTTCTGGTCACGAGGGGTGATATAGAAAATGGATAAGTGACGTGGACAGAAAAAGCAACGCCACCTAAAATTATGATAGATATCAGCGGCGTTGCCCCCGAAAGGGCAAGGCACTGACACTTTTTTGTGTTAGATGTTTTGAATTAAAAACATGTCAATGAAGTCAAAAGTTCATGAAACCTTTAATGTTGCGTTGCTATATCCTTTATAGGCTTTGGTTAAAGTATGATAGTGTTATACATAGTTTATGATGCACGTTGCTTAGAAAACCGATCCATGTCCAGTTCAATTAAAGAAAATTGATACATGCAGACTCATAGTTTTTCCTTGTCGTCTTAGAGTTTCATTTTTTCTACATTGTAGATACAACATTGGAGGTTATTGATAACATTTTGGCATTGTAATTAAGGTATGGTTATGATTAATTAGGGGGTTACTAAAAAATTCGTACAAACTAACTAAGTCAAAAATTATTAACTTATCATGCTGTATTGCTATGATCTTTATAGGCTTTGGTTATATTTTGAGAGAGTTACACAGAGTTTGTGATGTACATTGTCTAGAAAATAGATGTATATTATGACCAAATAATTAATTAAAAAAATATTGATTGCAATTATTTTTTTAAAATTATTTGATTGGTATGTTGTTTATTTTTTGTAGTTTGCTGTTATTTTTTTTGCAAATTCTATATGTTATGGGTAAGCATTAAATTAATTTGTAAAATTGTATAATTTAGTGGTGTGATGTAAAATCCGGACGCCGCTATGTCGGTGCTGGAGCTGCGGAAAGACGTCACACCGCTAGTATCTATAAGGCACCATACCGCCGCACGACCCTCTCGCCTTCCACATTCTTACTGTTGCGTGGGCCTTAGAAAACCACTCCCCATGTAATCAAATAGTCTCCCTAAAAATGTAATCAAATAGACAAAACCCCATCTTTCTCCTCTATCTCTCTCACCGTCCTTAACTCTCTCTCAAGAAACCCCCAAATCCGATCGATAGATGTGGAATTCAGGTAGAGCGTCGCCAGAGAAATATACAAAACAAGGTGGGGGCAAGACTTTTCTTGTATCCCTTGCTAATTTTTTTAGGGGAATGTATCCCTTGTTAATAGTTGACAAACATACATGAACGACAAATGAATTGCAGAGAACAATGCCTAAAATTGGCCCCCATATTCCTAACTGGTTCTTCTATAAAAGCGATTTAAACATAGATGTGATGTCAGATTTTTAGGGCTGAAAATTTGACGTTCAATAGTACGTCTAATTCAGATCAAACGCATGGCAATTAATCGTTGTAGTATGCTAAGCGGTAATTTTTATTTTAGAACATGATAAATTCTTGTATATCTGTTTTCGCATGGCAAATTTGGTCGTCAAATTTGTATAGCGCTAAAAAATTCTGATGCCAGATTTTAACATTTTCGTGAGAAAAAAAGATTCCTAACGGGCCTGTCTCTGTTTTCTCGCTAACGGATCACAAACAGAAAGTCCACCCGACCCGTCGCCTTCCTTCGTCCGTCGGCCTACACCGTCTCCTCCCTTTCCCGCAGAGTCGAAACTAGGGAGAGATCGACGGAGACCGACCGCGACGAGGATCCCTTTCCGGAGGAGGGCGGGTGGGCGTGACTGCCGGTGATCGACGGCAGAGGCGATGGCATCAACGTCACGGATCTTCGAGTACTTCGTGGTATGCGGGCTGGGGCCGGAGATCCGGGCGCTTGATGGCCTCAAGGGCTTCCATGGCGCCGAAGAAATGTACATGCCTGCCTTCATCGACCAGTTCCCGCACTCGGGCCACGCGCTCTACCCTCCCCCGCCCCCGCAGCTCCCCACCGTGAGTTGCAGATCCCGCCCCTTTCCTCCAGCTGCCTCAGTTCTTCCTCTCGCGATCTGCTTCGGCCCCCATCATTCGAATTTTCGGTGAAATGGACAAATTGCTGTTGTTTAGCATTTGATTGGGCTGGCGTGTTGCTAAGTTCGAAATGGTTGATCTGTAGACGTGAATTCGTGATGCTCTAGTGCACTGAGGTTAGAATTGTACGGAGTATATGCCAGTTGCGTACTCAACCGTGCATCGGTCGAGACAGAAATTTAAGAATGGCTGGGAAAATTATTGGCCGCCACACTGCGCCGTGGATTGTTGGCCTGCGAGGTGATAACATTGTCCGCACACTTGCTGGCCTGCTGGGGATAGTTCTTTTGCACGGCCACTTGCTAGCCTGCTGCACCATGCCACTGCTTGCTCACCATACTACTGGGGTCGTGCCACCTCAAGATTATGCGGTCACCTAGTTATTCTGTCGATTAGGTTGACCCGATTCGGTTGGGTTTCAAGTTTGATTGGTTTTTATAAGGGTGAGTCTGTAGGCACTCAGGCCAATGTGCACACTAGATTACTAGAGGCTTAACCGCTCTGCCCAACAGAGTTTCTTCTTTGAACAGTTACCTTCATCTCTCCTTGTTGAAAGTTACAATCGAAAGTTCAAGATCCTGCTATCTTGGGAAAAATGCTGGCATTCTAGGACAAGTGCCCCAACTTGCTCCAGTGGCCTCTCTGCCTGCACGCAGATGATTTGATGCTATATGAACTGGTGTAAGCAGGGAATTTGGCTTCAGTACATCTGTGTGGTTGGAGATAATTGAACATGGAAGGTTACTGTTACAATGTGATCGTGTGATGTATGTAGGGGCATGCTATTTTAACATGTTCAATCACATCCCTGCCCGTGACCTTTTTGTACCAGCACATATAATTTACAACCAAAATTTGTTAGCAGTATCAAAGTCTGTAAGCCATGTATTATTGCGGAAAAACATGTTAATGACACATGGGACGGAAAGCAAGGGGTAGGGCGTGCCATGCATTTATTTTAACTATCGATTTTGTTTAGCAATGTTGGATAATTCCATGTCATTTGCCCAGGGGCTGAACCTTGAACACCAATAAAATAATGGAGATCTTTGCCAGATAACTGAAAAGAAAAGATAGTAATGTGAACAAAAGAATGTGATTGATTTCATGTTATAATAATTTTAAACCGCCGAATGACAATCATGATATCATCATGTCTATTTTATCCCTAATCTTGTTTTATTGTAATCTGAACCTTTCTATCATTGTCCGTTGATAACTGCAGTGTGTTTTGCCAGCGGGTGTAAGAATATACTCTTCTGGGTTGGACGCCAATGACGTCTCCACCTATCCAAGGAGCTATCCCATAGTTTTGACAGGTATGTCTTGTTGGTAGTTGACATTTCCCGAACTTTGTACATGTTTTTAACCCTTCGAGTTGAAATTATTATTGCTTATTATTTACATAGACACCTCTTAACATAGTCATCATTTTTTTGTAGAGGGAGATGGTTCAAAAATTTATGTCAGTTGTATTGCATTTCGGGATCCAATTTGTGAAGATATTATTGAAGCCTACCAAATTCCGGTGAATTCTTTTGCTGATAAATGCATCTGCTTTGTGTCCCATTCTCCTTGTTTCCAAGTCCTCCGTGATGCTCTAGAGGAAATATTTGTCCTTTGTTTTTCTCCTGCCGGTTGTAGGTAAACTTTCATTGTTCATGCGTGCGCTTTATAAACTATGGATTACGCCTTTTTCATGGCTTAATATTTGTCGGCCCTGATTTCAGCAAGCCTTTGTGGGATATAATATCCCATGTGGTGTCAAATGTTCCATTACCAACACCGGGAAAGGATCGTGTCTTGTTTGCCATTGATAATTGCCTTCTTTCCGCGGAAACTCCTCCAAAAGAATGGCTTCCTCACGCTGATGTATGGCTTCCTTTCCATTTTGTCTTATGTTCCTTGACCATATTTCCAGTACCATTTTAGATACTCCATTTTGTTCACATTCAACTTGTAATATCAAGCTGATTGTGGTTGCAGATATCCTTCCAGCCATTGGTGCAGTGTCTGGATGTTGATAAACTAATACAGCTCTTTACTGCCGTTCTGCTTGAAAGAAGGATATTGCTAAGATCTAACAAGTCTGTTGAGTTTCACAATGCAACTCTTGACCATGTTTTAACATTATACCATCCCAGTCTTAGCTTAGGTTTACAAGTGAATGGATTGTTAGTTTGTTACTTTGGAACAACACCTTAAGTGGAAGTGTTTGAAGTTTATCTTAAGTTTGCTGGACTTCTCTTTTGTTTTGTAATGCAGGTATACATTATTAACTCTAGTTTCAGAAGCCATATGCCATTTGATATACCCGATTAGGTGGCAGGTGGGTTTCATTCAACTGTGTTCCTTTTTATTCCCAAGTCTTTAGCAGGCTTCACAAATATGTGAAATAATTATTGCGCTTGAGGATTTCATTCATATCTGTTCCAGAAATTCTCATTATTTATGTTATGCTCATGTGGTGAATTATCCCCATTCAACGTATTTGTTGTGCTGCAGCATGTCTACATTCCAATAATATTCTCTAGTGGTGTTGACTACATTGATGCTCCGACTCCCTACATGATGGGACTTCATTCAGGTGTTGACACATCTACAGTGACAATGGATGGTGTAAGTTGCAACATTAAATGAAGTTTCCGTTGGCTGTTTTTCTGCCGTTGCCTGCCTATATTCTCTTGGTAATACGTACTAGTACTTATTTACTAGTGGAAATAGCCTTTTTAAAGGTTTGGTCCACCTGTTTTTTATTTTTGCTGGTAGGATCATTTTCCTTTCACAGCCGATGTGTGAATGCTTCTAGTTGCTTTGATTAATAAAGTCACAACAAATCTTTATATTTATAGTTTTGTAACCCTGAACTGAAGACGGATATTTGCAAGGGTTCTATGATATTTTGAGAGCGAAGAAGTTTGGTTCAACATATTTTGTTACTAGTCTGAAGCAGCACAAAGGTTGTGGAGGAGCAACTCCACCTTGCTGCTACAATGTGTACATCACAAGTGTTGAAGGAACAACTTCAACATGCTGCGCTAGATATCGCTCTAGAGACGAATGTAGGCTGATATGGCAGCAAGAGTTCAATCCAGAACTCCTAGAGCACAAGATCTACTCCAAGATCTTAGATAAGAACAACAAGTTCTATTATAGGTAGTGAGTACATGGTCTGGGTTCCAAAGTAGAGGTGAGGACCTCTATTTATAGGTCTTTGGGAAGCCTTCACATACTTCTACTTATAGCTGGAGCACTCTAGAAAACATTATTTAGGATTCACCTCTCTACTCACAGCTACTTATAACTAGAGAACTCTAGAGACAGCAGGTAGGGTGAAGAAAAGAAAAAAAAAGAAATACTGCACTAGAGTGAAAGTATCTAGAAGTAGCCAAACAGATCTGGCATCTGTTTTTCTTTCTCATCTATTGTTCCTCATCATTCTCCCCTGGTTGTTTGGAACTCGCCCTCGAGTTATCGTCATAGAGCACTTCTTCTAGATGGTAGAGAGTCAAGCCCACAACATTGTAAGTGTTGGATATGCCCATGTCGCTTGGAAGATTTATCACATAAGTACTATCATTTATCTTCCTCATGATAGAGAAGGGCTCATACCTTCGCTGCCTAAGCTTCCCCTTAACACCTAAAGGCAGCCTCTCTTTTCGGAGGTAGACCATCACCTTATCACCAACTTGGAATGATTTTGGCCTCCTTTCAAAATCAGCAAGTTGTTTATATTTCTGATTTTGTGCTTCCAGAACACCACGAATCTCGTCAAATAACTCAGTGTAACTATCAACAAGGGACAATGCTGATTTTGAGTTTCCCCTTGATGGTAGCTTCACCAGGTCCACCACGTGTGTTGGAACTTTAGTGTAGACAATGGATTCCCCTTGATGGTAGCTTCACCAGGTCCACCACGTGTGTTGGAACTTTAGTGTAGACAATGGAAAAAAGGCCCCTTCCTGTGGATCTATGCTTGGAGTTATTGTAGGAGAACTCTTTAAGAGATAGAGCCAAATCCCATTGTCCCTTTCTTTCTTCACAAATGCAACGGATCAGATTACCCAAAAACTTGTTCGCCACTTCCGTTTGTGGATGAGCAGTGCTAGAAAATTTCAATTCAGTGTTCAATTGCTTCCACAAAGTGAGCCAAAATGCAGCAAGAAACTTGCTATCACGGTCTGAGACAATGGACCTTGGAACTCCATGAAGTCTGACCACTTCTCGGAAGAATAGGTTTGCCACATGATGAGCATCCGTTGTCTTGCGGCATGGGATGAAATGAGCCATCTTAGAGAATCTATCCACGACCACAAAAACGTCATCACTCCCTCATCTTGTTCTTGGCAAACCCAAGACGAAGTCCATAGAGATGTCCTCCCATGGAGCAACAGGAACAGGCAAAGGCATGTATAACCCTGTGTTCTGGACTTGGCCTTTGCAGGTTTAACATATAGGGCATCGTTGGACAAACTTTCCAGCATCTCTCTTTAGTTGTGGCCAAAAGTAGCGAGCTTCCAGGTTAGCGATAGTCTTGTCCCGTCCAACATGGCCACTAAGATCACTTGAATGGAGTTCTCTAATTAGTTTGTCACGCAGAGAACTCCTTGGGATGCACAAACAATCATTTTTGAAGAGATAGACATCCTGCACCAAATAGTCATCACCTAATGGCTGTTCCCTGATGTGCTTTACCCAAACATGGCCAAAGTCTTCATCATTCTCATACAACTCCTTTATTTGATCCATGCCTGGAAGTTCAGCCTCAAAAGAAGTCAGGAGGCATGCAAGACGACTCAAAGCATCGACCACTCGGTTAGTTGTTCCAGATTTATGCACGATGAGATAGTTAAATCTCTCCAGATATGCTGCCCATCTTGCTAGCATGCGGTCAACATGCTTTTGATTTCTAAAATGCTTCAAGGATTGATGGTCACTATGAACAATGTACTCTTTAGGCAGCAAATAGACTTCCCAAGTTTTCAACGCTTTGAAAACGGCATACAATTCTTGCTGATAGATACTCCATTTCTGTCTAGCTTCACTTAACTTCTCACTAAAGAAAGCATTGTGCTTCCTTTCTTGAGATAGAACAACTCCAATGCCTACTCCACTTGCATCGCACTCCAACTCAAAAGTCTTGTTGAAATCAGGTAGCACCAAGACAGGAGCTTGTGATAGTTTTTGTTTAATCTCATTGAAACTAGCTTCAGCTGCTTCTGTGTTAGAGTAAGTAATGGGCCTAATGGGCCTGGGCTGGCGGTATAGTCCGTTAGTCTTAGGGTTAATTAGAGATAAGGGTCGCTTGCTTGGGAGTCAAGTAAACCTCTCTATATAAGGGGAGGAGATGTATCAATCTAATCAAGCAAGAATTAAGAAGGAAATCCCTTCCCTCTTGCCCGGCCATGGGCAAAACGGCCCCGGCCGGCCCTCTCGCGCCCTCCTAGCAGCCACATAACAATTTGGTATCAGCTAGCTTCGGTTCGATCATGTCTTCACCGCCGCCCAACCTGTCTTTTCCGCTGCCGGGATCCTCCGTCGCGCCCGCCCCCGTCGTCCTCACCTCGGAGGAGGTGTCCGGGGCGCTGCGGGACCTAACCCAGGCGGTCCACGAGATCCGCATGTTCTTGGCCGTCTCCTACGAGCCGCACCCGGCTGCGCCGACCATCGCCGCCACCGCGCCGCCGTGGCAGCCGCTGCACCAGGCGGCCTCCGCCGCGCTCGCCGGGCCGCAGCCGCAGCCGCAGCAGCTGCCATCCACCGCCCCGCCCTGGTTGCAGTGGCAGCCGCCGCTCTTGGTGGCCTCCGCCGCGCCCGGCGCTCCGCCGCTGCCCCAGGGCGTCCCTGCCGCGCTCGCCGGGCCGCTGCAGCAGCCGTTGCAGCTGCCATCCACCGCCACCACCGCCCCGCCCTGGCTACAGTGGCAGCCGCCGCTCCTGGTGGCCTCTGCCGCGCCCGGCGCTCCGTTGCAGCAGCCACCACCGGTCAGCTCCGGCCCCGCATCGACCGCGTCGGCGGGAGTCCCGATCCACCAGATCAAGTTCCCGCCGTCACCATTACTGCTTCCCCAGGGCGTCCCCGTCCAGTAGATCAAGTTCCTGCCGTCGCCGTCACCGCTTCCGGCTTGGATAACTACCCGCCACGTGTCGGCGGCGGTGAGGCTATAGGCTGCTGCGCGCGGCCTCCTAGCGTGTCGGCGTGTGCGGGAGATGCGTGGTCTGTAGCTGACGCTCCTCTCAGCCGCGCTTCGCTGCGCAAAGGACCTCGATCTCGTCCGCTGCGTCGGGGATCTTGGGCATGTTGTTTCCCCCGCGGGCAGCGACCTCAAAGTCTGCGACATCGGTGGTTGGGGGGGGGGGGCGCACCCCTCCTCGTCATTCTTCATCGCAAGCCCTCCACTCTTCTCTGTGCGATGCAGACCAACAGCCGTCCGACGGGGAGAAGGCAGGGTGTCACCGACAGGGGCGCACCGCGTAGCACCACTGCATTCCGCCGGCTGCCGCGAGGGCGCCTCTGCTGGTCACTCTTGCGACCACTTCCAAGTGGCCATACACATGCACTCCTTTTGTCCAGATGGTGTCCATGGGATCCAGGCGGCTGTACACGTGCATGTCCGACGTGCGGATGGTGTCCACTTTATGTTCAGGGGTCCAAAATAAAGCGTCCTAGTCCATTTCAGGTTGAGAGTAATAAAACAAGCCGAGATGTAAAAGGCTTGTTTTTAGGTGTTAGGTTTGTGTTGCGTCGAGTCATGGTTATAAGTTGGTTAGGTTGCAGCTCGAGGACAAGCTGCATGTCCAGGTGGGGTGTAGTGTTAGAGTACATAATGGGCCTAATGGGCCTGGGCTGGCGGTATAGTCCGTTAGTCTTAGGGTTAATTAGAGATAAGGGTCGCTTGCTTGGGAGTCAAGTAAACCTCTCTATATAAGGGGAGGAGATGTATCAATCTAATCAAGCAAGAATTAAGAAGGAAATCCCTTCCCTCTTGCCCGGCCATGGGCAAAAAGGCCCCCGGCCGGCCCTCTCGCGCCCTCCTTCTAGCAGCCACATAACATTCTGTCCATTGGAACTTTCCTTTCTTCAAACACTCGGTAATTGGTGCCATGACAGTGCTGAAATTCTTCACAAATCGCCTATAGAAAGTTGCAAGGCCATGAAAACTTCTTACCTCAGAAATGGTCTTCGTAGTTGGCCATTCTCGGATTGCTTCAACCTTAGAATCATCAACACGAATACCGTCACATGTTATGACGAATCCTAGGAAAAGAAGTTGTGTTTGCAGGAAAACACATTTCTTCAAGTTGACGTAGAGCTCATTTTCCCTTAGTACTTCTAGCACCTTTCGAATGTGATCAAAGTGTTCATCCTCATCCTTGCTATAGATCGAGATGTCATCGAAATAGACCACAACAAAGTGGGATAAGAAGGGTCAAAGGACTTGATTCATTAATCACATAAAGGTACTTGGTGCATTTGAGAGTCCAAATGGCATGACTAGCCATTCAAACAACCCTTCCTTTGTCTTGAAGGCGGTTTTCTATTCATCCCCGAGTCTGATACAGATTAGATGATATCCACTTCTTAAATCTAGCTTTCTGAACACTCTTGCTCCGCTAAGCTGATCCAACATATCATCCAGACGGGGAATCGGGAGTCTATACCTTACGGTGATCTTGTTAATGGCTCTACTGTCCGTACACATGCGCCAAGATATCTTTCTTTGGCGCGAGTAGGGCTGGTACAGCACATGGGCTAATACTTTCTCGAATGTGCCCCTTTTGTAGCAATTCCTCCACTTTCTCCTTCAATATATCATGCTCCTTTGGGCTCATTCGATAATGTGGAAGATTAGGAAGACTTGCTCCCGGAATTAAGTCAATTCTATGTTGAATTCCTTTCATCGGTGGCAGGCCTTGTGGCTCTCCAAGTATGTTCTGAAATTCTGCCAATAAACCACGTACCTTTGCTCGAATTTCAACAGTCAGGTGCTCTTCTCCTTTTACAACAAGTGCAGCACACAAATCTGCCTCCTTCAAGTCTTCCATAAACTCATGAGAGGAATGGGAGATAGTTAATATAGTTTTCCCCTCCTCCTTAGAGGTATTACCTTAAGTTTTGTTTGGTAAAATAATGATCTTTCTCTTGTTCCAAATAAAAGAGTAAGAATTTTCCTTGCCCTTGTGTGTAGTATCCACATCAAATTGCCAAGGTCTCCCAAGAAGAACATGGCTAGCGTCCATATCAACTACGTCACACAACACATTTGAGCGATAATGCTTGCCCAAAGAAAGTGGCAGGTTGCATTGTTTGGTGATCTTCATATTCACTCTTTCTTGATCCACCCAATAGTGTAGGGGTTTGATGATCATGAGTATCAAGCTTTAAATGGTTCACCAACTTCTGGGAGATAAGATTCTCGCAACTGCAACTATCAATCACTAATTTGCATACCTTGCCATTCACTGTACATTTGCTCTCAAATATTTTCTTTCTTTGTGTGTCGTCAGGTTGTGGTGTGGAACATAGGAGACGCTGAATCACACATACCACTTCTTCACCTTCTTCTTGACAAACCTCTTGTCCCTCTACATCTTCAGATTCGTATTCTTCCTCATTGCCTTCAGCCCTTCACCATCATGGATAGTTGTGTTAACAAATTTCCTTAGTGGGCAACCGCTGGATATGTGTCCCTCTTCACCACATTTATAGCATTTTGGGCCTTCATTGGACTTACCCTTGCCTCTAGTTTGCTTCTGGATGGGTCGTTTTGCCTTTAGTGGAGTGGTCTTTTCTTCCGCTCTATTAGGCTGACTCCTAGACGAGCCTTCGACATGAGGATATGGAGCCTTAGTTGCCTTTCTTGTCCTCATAAACCTCTCGGCTTTTAAGGCTAGAGCTTGTGCTTGATCAATGGACCAGATTTGTTGCATCATCAATCGATCTTGAATAGCATCGTTGGGACCATTGATGTACCTTGCAACTTGTTGATCTTCAGTTTCAGCAAGGTTGCACCTCACTTGTAGCCTTAGAAACTCCTCCGTGTAATCTGAAACATTCCTATTTCCTTGAGCACAATTTTGAAATTGGATAAATAGGATCTGGTCATAATCAGCGGGCAAAAATCCCCCTTTCAAGAGACTTTTCATTTGCTGCCAAGTTCTCACATGAGGTTCTCCTCTCAGCCTGCGCTCTTCTTGAACGCGATGCCACCATGCACGGGCTCCTCCTTTCAGCTTGTATGCGACCAAGGGAACTCTACGATCTTCCGGAACCTCCATGACCTCAAAGAAAGTCTCCACTTCATATAAGCAATCTAGGCACCCTTCAATATCAACATTTCCATTAAAAGTTGGGATCTCAGCTTTCACCTTGTATGTATCTCTTGCATATGTAGGCTTGGGTACTCTCCGATATGCGTAGAGATCTGGTTCTTCAAGGGCATCATCATACTCCTTACCTTCAGAAGCTTCAACATAAATTGGCCTTCTTGAAGCACGTTGAACAGCACGTTGTGGTGGTCTTGCTCCAAGATTACCTCTCCTTCTTTGATGAACATCTTCTTCTTTAGATGAATCTCCTTCATTGGTAGCAGGGGGACACCCTTTCTTATCATCTCAACCAGTTGCTCAAATCTCCGATTAAGATCTTCACGCAGCTCTTTGATTTGTTGTTCTGCAGTATCCATCCTCTTCTCCAATTGCTCCATTGCTTGCTGCAGCTTGCTCTAGAGACGAATGTAGGCCGATATGGCAGCAAGAGTTCAATCCAGAACTCTTAGAGCACAAGATCTACTCCAAGATCTTAGATAAGAACAACAAGTTCTATTATAGGTAGTGAGTACATAGTCTGGGTTCCAAAGTAGAGGTGAGGACCTCTATTTATAGGGCTTTGGGAAGCCTTCACATACTTCTACTTATAGCTGGAACACTCTAGAAAACATTATTTAGGATTCACCTCTCTACTCACAGCTACCTATAACTAGAGAACTCTAGAGACATCAGGTAGGGTAAAGAAAAGAAAAAAAAGAAATACTACACTAGAGTGGAAGTATCTAGAAGTAGTCAAACAGATCTGGCATCTGTTTTTTCCCTCATCTATTGTTCCTCATCATAGTCTGAACTCTGAGAAGTCAGGATTTCTTCTGGGCGTGTGAATAATTTCCATGAGAATAACACACTGATTTGTAAACGAACAATGTTCAAGAGTACCCGTACCTAGCCTTAACAAGAGAAGTTGAATTGCATTTATTTATTCTATACACCATGCGCTTAGATGTAGAACTTCTTATATTGCATATATTGAATGCATTTTATGAGAATGATGTCTCACTATTGCCCCAAGTTTTTGTTACTTTGGCCAACCAATGCAAACTTGCGTTTTCCTTGTTTGTTTTCTCAAACTTTACCATTATGATGCATCATGATGCTGTGATAATGGCAATGCATGCAATTGCAGGTAGTGGTGGTTGATCTCGAATACAATCGGATAACAACCACTGAAGACATTCCTCCTATACCCGAAAGCGAACATAGTTTCTTGCGTGGTGAGATATTGAAACTACTACAGCCCAATGTTGTGGCCATTGATTACATGAAAATCAATCTTGGCAGTATGGGTGACTATTCTTTAAGGACCGCGGCAAAATCATGGGGGCAAGATCATGATTTTCAGCTCAGGTAATTCTGTGCTACATGTTAATGTTTACTTTGTATCTGTGCGCAATTGCTAATTAATAGGATGTTTGTGCTAGCACTCCACTGAAAGTAGGCTTATAATGGTAGCAGCATTCCACTGAAAGTAGGCCTAGTGGCTTAGACAACAATATGAATAGATAAATTATAGTGCCTGGCTGCCTGCACAAGTATATTTACATGAGAACAGGCTCAGACTCAGTTCATGTAGACTATTCTGTATCTTACCATTCTGAGCATGGTAAATAATTGGAAACTGAGAGAAAAAGAAAATATGCTTGACACTAATCAGATAGGGAGTTTATGATTCTTTGTTGCATGGATTGATCCTGAATTAACCCCGAAGACTATTCTGGGTCTTCAGTCATGATCTATGTTTAGGATTATTTGTTCTCCAGTGGGCATCATGGGAGCTATTTTATTAGTTGATCTTTTTTTTTTGCAGGCTGATATTCTTGAGATTCTTTGCACAGATTATGAGTGGTTACCGTAACTTCATTGTAAGTCATCACTCTAGTAAGTTTTCTGACTACTATTTGTCTACTACGTTCTTTGGTGGTAACTCAAGAGGTTTGCTTGTCAGGATAATGCTTTACCAACCGGTTTCAATGCTCAAGCATTCCTTAAAAAACGGTCTCGAGCAACTAATCAGCCTGTCGAGTCCATGTCGATGGTATGCTTACAATCCATTGGCACTTTACATCTTTGTATATCATGGAACGAAAAGTTGAATCTGTTAAAGTATCTTTTGGTTCCCCAACTTAGTTTGCGTCTATTTTGAACACTAAACTTCTCAGTGGTACTATTGGTCTCTCAAGTTTGGAAGCGAGTAAAAATGTTCTCCATTCTGTTAAAAGAGTGGTATATTTATTAAGTTTCTGTTTGACCCAGCTGCCAGTGCTCAGAATATCTGACTTGGGCTTACCTCTGAAGTTTAGGGACCAAAATAATGCCCTCATAAACTTAGGTCACATAAGACCTGTCTATGAACTTGAGTCCAATGAACTATTCCAATATTTAATCTGTCATTTCAGCGAATGATTTGCCTCTGAAAGCTTTTCCATGTATAAGGGTGTTTTTAAGTATACACTATTCTTATACATTCAGGAATTGGCCTTAATATAAATGGAGCTATATGGCACATAAGCTACTTTCCATTGACGGCGTGTACTATATACAACGATCACGAGAGAACATGGAAGTCTGTTCATGCTGTATTATGGTTCATTAATTTGTAAAGTAACTAATGAATCCCCTTTTGCGAGACAGAGGAAATAGCTGCTCACAAATAACAACTGTGCACCTTATTCCATAGACGCATTTGCATACTTATATTTATACAAGAGTTATGTGCCATTCCACACAGATCAAACCTATTGCTAGATGGGCTTTGTCAACATGTATGCAAAGTTACATCTGTCACTCGAGTCCTGAAATTTGGTCCCTTGGTTCCTTTGTTGTTGATCCGTTCAACATCCGTCATTAGTCTTATCTGCATATATGGGGTTGACATATTCCAAAAATCAGAGTTTACTTAGATTTCATCTGATTAACTAGTTACCAAGGAGGTGTTTGGTTCACACAATGGTAACGGCAACAGGACTGGTATGAGGTTATAGTGGAGAAGGGGCGTAACTGATTCAGCTGCTATTTTGTTTGATTCTAATCAGTAAGGGTATCGATTGAGGTACGGCCTCGCTGACGAGACAGCTCTCCTCCCTACCCTCGCGTCGCTCCCGCGAGCGACCGAGTGGATAACCCTAGCCGCCGCGAGTGTTCCCTCTCCCTCCCCTCCCCCTCACCGCCACTTGTCCGCGCCGCCTGGTGTTGGCGGCGGCGGGGCCCTTTCTCTCGCTCGTGGGGGCTTGGCGCGGGCGGGCGCTCCCGGGTGGTGGCGCGACGCGGATTCGGTGCGTGGCGACGCACGGCTGTGCTCGGCGGCGGTGTTGCGGAGCGGCTACCCGGGCTTGGAGGGCCGGACGCACGTGGTGCAGGGCGGATGCGTGGCGGGGGGTGGCGGCGGCGGCTTCGACTGGATCTGCCCCGCGGGCGGCGCGGGCTGCGGCGGCTTTGTTCGAGGCGGGCTTGACCCTCTCTCCTCTGCTCATCGGTCGGCGGTTGTGGCGGACGGTGGCGGCCGACTGGTGGATGTTGGCCGCTCGGCGGGGGTGCCGGTGGCTGGCCGGTGGTGGTGGGGGAGAACCGGGGAGGGAGGCAGGGGGCTTCTTGGCCGTGCCGATGTCTCGGTGGTCCATGTCCCCAGCAGAGCGGTGCGGTGGCTGTGGCGAGGATGAGGCCGGCGGCTGCCGGCGACCCTTCCCTGCCTGGATCTGGCCGGCTGGGCCGCCTTCCCGCCAAAGGGTCAGTTTTGGGGTGGAAGGAGGTGCCTTCTACCTCTCATCGGTCGGTGGCGTCCATTAGCCGTCGTGGTGGTTGTGGGGGGTCTTGGATGCCGGGGCGGTGGCCTCGGTGGTGGTAGTCGTGCTGCTTGTGGGCGGGGTGCGTGACTCAGGTGTGGGCTGGTCGCTATGGCCGTTCGGGCGGCGTGGTAGCCGGTGCTTCGGCAATCGGAGGCGTTTCGAAGGTGGAGCGTGCGTGCCAGGGGAGATCCCCTACTCGGCTTCGGTTGGGCCGACGACATCGGCGTCCGTGGGCGTCGTCTCCTTCTTGAAGGCGTCGCCGTGTCTAGGTGAAAACCATGATCCTTTGGATCCGGCGGCGATGGCGCTCCGCTGTCGTTCCCCTTCTTGAAGGCGCTGTCTTGTAGGCCTACTTTCGCCGAGCTTAGCTTTGTGGCTGTTCCTTTACCTTTTGTATCCGGCCTTGGGTGTGTTGTGTGGTGTTGAGTTGTTTGCGATGATTGTAATCGGTTATGGTTGCTTTATATATAAAGCGGGGGGAAATCCTTTTTGGGTAAGGGTATCGATTTACTTCACAACGTTTGTTTATGCAATAAAACCTGAATACAACTGAAAACTGGAGGGGAGATGAAGGACAACTAGAGAGCGGAGGAAAACACGGGAGAAGAATAACATGGGGCCTGAAGAAGAAGCAGCACCGTGAGTATAGAAGGGGATCGGCAAGGGGGTCTGCGGCCCCCGCCATTGTTGCTGCTCCTCGCATGGTGGCAGCCGCCATTGTGCTGTTCCTCGCATGGTGCCGCCGAGATCGGCTTTCCATCGCCACCACCTGTGCCGTTCGATTTGACGTAGAAGAATCAGGGCGAAGGGGATCTAGGGGGGGGGGGGATCGATCCATGGAACCGTCACCGGAGGCGAAGCGGTAACGGGATCTGTTCCCGGTCTGGGATGGGCAGAAACGACCGAAACTTAAGGCGTAATCTGTTTACCCCGTATTCGTTTATGGGCCGGCCCAACCAAACGTGATTAATGGTATCAGCATGCGGTGTAATCAGATAACGATACAAATTGGTCGAACCAAACGTCTCCCAAGTGCTTTGGTGATTGATAATTGTTCTTAACCTTATTAATCCTACTGACTACTGATTTAACTCAGTATTTCTGATTTTCCACTGATGCTTCCTGACTTCTATTTGTTGCTCACAATAGCTTACCTATTTTGTAACGCGACAGCTCTTCTAATTTAAAGTTAGTATTGCTGGTTATAATATACTTCAGTGTTATATCCTTTGTAGCCAGGTAGGGCAAGCATACACACAGTTAACTAAAGTGTACCCTAACCTTAAATCATGTGTTTGCATTTTAACACCGTCGCATAGCTAGCTTGGTCATATCCTTAACAAACTATAAATTTGATGCTTGTTTGGCAGATTATGCAGTTTATAGAGACTCAGGGATTCTTGGATTATCTGGAAAGATGCAACAACGCAGAAGAATTCAGCAATAACCTTCTTGATAAGCTGCAGGATGCAACTGGGAGAGGACAAAGCCCTCTGGCCATCTTTCCTTCTCATGTTGCTGATCCTGAGATCATAACAATAGCTGATTCTGAGATCGAAGGTTCAGGTACTCATCTACATTTTATTTTTTGCCTAACACTTGTTCTCTCCATCTTATTGTCACACTTAATCACTGTTTCTAACAGTTCAAACCCTATGTATGTTAGCATCAGATGACCTCAGGAACACAATTATTTAGGATTGTGTAGATGACCGTGCATTTTTTATTGGGTCTAATACACTACGGTGTAGGAATTGATTGTAAACAACTTGAGCTCTTTACCAAAACTGTTCAAACACTTTAACTGAAGGAACCATGTAACTGTTGTATTTTCTCCATGTCGAGGTTCATTTTGACTTGTAATGCCTGGGTTGTGGGGTATCTGTTTAGTGCTGCACTTCCATTATATTTGGAAAGGTAATTAGCCATAAACGCATCTGCAGAACCAGGCAATAGGCACTGTTATAAAAGCTTTCCAGCAAATGCAAGAACAGAAGAACAAGAAGAAAAGCGTAAATCAATTCTAGCATTAGTTGGTGGGGCTAGTAAGCAAGTACCAAGGTATGATGACAGGCCTGCAAGTTTTTTCACCGTTAACCTTTTCCAGTAACTATAAGTCTATAACTGCAATATCAACTGACATCTGTTTTCAGCTCTCCTGCTGTCCGAATCAGTGGGGGTCCAAAGGCAGAAAGTCTGAGTCCCAGAGAGAGGGCGGTAAGTCATGCATACTGCTATGTAAATAATCCCTACCATTGTTTCTGTACATGCATGCCACAGTAGCTTTTCTTTTCTTAAAATAATAACGATCTTCGTTTTGGTCTATACAGGCTGAGAGAGAAAGGATGGTTCTGGATATAAAAGTAAAGCTCCAGGTAATTATCTGATCATTCTCACTGCTCTCATTTATATTTTACCATGTTCTAAATTGTGATTATCATGGTTTTGTGGTATTGGAAGGGGAGCCTTGGCGCAGTGGTAAAGCTGCTGCCTTGTGACCATGAGGTCATGGGTTCAAGTCCTGGAAACAGCCTCTTACAGAAATGTAGGGAAAGGCTGCGTACTATAGACCCAAAGTGGTCGGACCCTTCCCTGGACCCTGCGCAAGCGGGAGCTACATGCACCAGGTTGCCCTTTTTTTTTATGGTTTTGTGGTATTGCTCATAAAGAATGGTACTGAGGATGATCTAAAGTATGGTGGAAGTTATTGGATGCCATGTTTTTAAACCAGTTATATACGATCCCTAAATATTGATTGCAGTGGGATCTGCCTGATCAACCTTTTGATACTAACATATATCTGCGAAAGTATATGACTGGCTATTTGAAAATAATCTGTTGGATTTATCTTGCACAATCATTTGCTGGTATATTTTATTGAAAACATAGTCAATAGCATGCATTGTAGTTTGTAAAAATCTATAACAACTTAGATTTCTGTAGAGTACTACTACTTATTACCATGTACGTATTGCTAGTTGCGATAAACTAAACTTTTCATGGTGCTGGGTGTCTCTGTGCAAAATATGTCATTTCAGGGAATCAAAAGTGTAGCAACTGTAATTTTTCACTCTATGACTCGGAAGAAGTTAAGAGGTTCTAGCATGTCATTTTATAGGGGTATGCATGGGTATTTATCATTCTTAGATTCAGTGTCTTGTTCTGTGCGCTTGGTGGGCTGTGGACAAATAGCGAAATGGAAGGAGTACCAGTCTTCAACTAAATTACTGTGAAAATTACAAGAAACAGTAAAATAAAGAGGATTGTATCCAAGTTGGAATTGCAACTTAGAACTCTTACTCGGAAGTGCGAAGTAATAATCCTGAATAGCGGTAGGGAAATTATTCAGCTGAATTTTTTTAGACCCTTAGGTTGTGAGTTGATTGTTTTGATCATCATTTTTTTGTCCTCAAATGCGCAGGAGAGGTGCGCATCATTATATTAAGAAAGAAAGGAGTCTAGTAAGACTCATACAAGCCCAATAGGAAGAGTTTA